CAAGGTTCAGGAAAGAAGAGGTGGAGAGAATTTGAGACAAGTTTTAGGGAGTTCTATGAAGTGCTGTCTTCCAGACATGGCATGGCTGTTGCCCTAAAGAGCTTACCGCAGTTATGGTTACCTAGATAAGACATAGACAAGAGCGCACACCTTTAATCCCAGCACTGGGAGTCAGAAACAAATGGATCTCTCTGAGGCCAGCTTGGTCTACAGAACTAGTTCCAGGAAAGTCAGGCTATAAAAAGAAAGCCTGTCTCAAAATACCAATAATAAAAAAATAAATAAAACATATGTTTTATAACTTGACTTGAAAAATCATATAAAATTCCAATTTTAGTACTCATTCTCTTATATATTGTCTATGGGTGCTTTCATACTATAGTGGCAGAGCTGACTAGCTGTGATGAAAACACTATGTCCACAGAGCCTGAAATATTGACCATCTGGCTATGAAAGCTTGCCAATATTGATGAACTAAATAAGACTGATATGTAGAGTCAATCTCAAATGACTTCTTTGTAGAAACTTGATGTGGGATGCCCCTCTGTATGCTGTGAATATGTTTTATTACCATTGGTTAATAAAGAAGCTGATTTGGCCAATAGCCAGGCAAAATATAGTTAGGTGGGAGATGCCATGTAGCCTCCAGAGGAGTAACATGCCATAGCATTACAGATTAGTAGAAATGGGTTAATTTAATTATGAAAGCTAATTAGTAATATCTGAGCCATTGACCAAACAATCCTAATTAATATTAAGTCTCACAGTGGTTATTTGGGAACTGGCAGGTGGGAGAGAAACTTCCAGAATGATACTACAATTCATATAGAAATGCAAGGGACCCAGAATAACTAAAGCAATGTTGAAAAGGACAAGGTTGGGGGACATACTTCATAATTTGAGATCACAATACAAACCAGTAATCAAGACTGTACAGTACTGGCAAAGAACACAGATCAATGACAGAAAAGTAGAGAAATCTACATGTAGAAAGGTAGTTAATTTTCAACAAAGATGTCAACACGATTCAATGAGAAAAGAACATTCTCTTTAACCAAAGTGCTGGATTCCACATGCAAAAGAAGAGTCAGGCCACTACCTTGACCACAAACTCAAAATGGATCAAACTTGGATATGAGCACTACAACTCTACAATTCTTAGAAGAAATGAGTAGTATTTGTGATTTCAGATAATGCAGTGGTTTCTTAAATATGTAACATACTGCAAAGACAAAATAGACAAATTGGACTTCATCAAAATGTAAAGCTTTTGTGTTCTGAAGAATACTATCAAGAAAGTGAGTCAGCCAGGCAGTGGTGCACATGCCTAGAATCCTAGCACCTGGGAGGCAGAGGCAGGAGGATCTCTGTGAGTTCCAGGACAGCCTAGTCTATAAAGTGAGTTTCAAGACAGCCAGGACTACACAAAGAAACGCTATCTCAAAAAACCAAAAAAGATATATATATATAGAGAGAGAGAGAAAGGGAGGGAGGGAGGAGAGGGGGAGGGAGAGGGAGGAAAGGAGGAAGGGAGGAAGGAAGGAAAAGGAATTGAGTCAGGGAACTGAGCTGGGCAGAGGTTCAATGGGCGAAAGTACTGGCTTTACAAGCCTAAATCCTGAGTTTAACTCTTCAGCATTCATGCAAAAACTGGGTGTGGCTATGCATGCCTGTAACCTCACTGTGGTGGATAGGGACAGGATCACCAGTGTTTTGCCCAGCCAGCTTAAAAGAAATCAGCAGCTTTAGGTTCAGTCAAAGACATGAAGAACAATAGAAGAAGACACTCAACATCCTGTTTTGGCCTCTGTGTACACACATATATACACTATACACCATTCAACACACACTACGCACATGCCACATACCACAAGGGCAAATCTATAGTATGCTAGCATTTGTCAAGAGGACCACAGCAAGTTTTGAAGTCAACTTGTGTTATATAGTATACTAGACCAGACAGAGGTACATAGCAAACTCCTGTCTCAAAAATAAACAAAATGAAAAGACAATTCACAGAAAGCCTTTACAAATTATATCTGATAAGGAAATAGTGTCCAGAACATGAGAAATTGCTATAAATCAACAAGACACATAACAAACAAACAAAAAAATGCCTTCTGTAGCCAGGTTTTCTATTTGCAGCTAAATGCAATAACTGATAACACCAATGTGGCTTTTCTCTACCCTTTGTCCCTCCCCCACTACAACTCTTACCCTCACTCATTTCACCCAGCAAAAAAAATGACATCACTAATCCCCACTCAAGGAAGCTTTTGACAACTTCTCCCTGCAGGAACACTCGGAAGTTTGTGTTAACATAAAAAGGGCAAAAAATAAAAACTACTTAATAAGATTCCAAAGTCTTCAACCTTATTAGTAATCAAAGAACTGTCTAAAAATGTATATAAGTGAGTTTTTGTTTGTTTACTGCTAGATTTATCAAATTTCCCAGCACTTGGGAAGCTAAGGCAGCAGAATCGCTAGTTTGAGGTCAACCAAGTTGCAGGCCAGACTGGGCTATATAAATGAGACACTGTCTCAAAAAACTACCAAAACCTAGAAATTGTCAGAATATAGCTTTAGCAAAGGCATGAAATGCATATTTATATACTTTATTTTTCATTTTATGTATCTAGTCTTTGAGAATTCCATACATGTATACAATGTGTTTTGGTCATATCTACCCCCTCTTCATTCATTGCTTTTGATAGTAATATCTAGAGGATATTTCAGCAATATAGATTGTGTTGAAACCTAAAATATCCACAGTTTGTTAATCCTACTCTTTGGTATTTGCTCTAGGGAGACTGTGTTAGTTAGATTTTTGTCACTATCTAAATCCTGAGAGAGTAGGAGAAGACAAGAGAGGGCCATGGTATGAATATGACCAAAATACTTTATATGCATATATGAAGCATTATAATGAAGGATATTATGTATAACTCCTCTTCCATACACCCTCCTAGTAGATTCTTGACTCTAAAAATGTTTATTCCAAAAAAGCCTTCAACTAGACATTACCTAAACATCCTGTGTAAGATACTATCTTGCTTACTATGTCCCTCCCTAGAATTTTAGCTTCATGAGGACATAATGTTACCTGCTAAAATCTGCAGCTAGAATAATGCTAGGCAAACAGGAGATGATCAGTAAATATTGATAAGTGAATGACTACAATCAGGAAAAATGAGGTAGGAATCTGAAGAATGAAAAATGTTAAAAGTGAATGTCAACTGCTTAAGGCCCATCAGACCCACCACAGCCAGTCCCAAAGAGCTCCTGCATCCTATACACTGAGCAGGGAACGAGCTCCCAGCTATTTCAACAGAAGCCCACGCACGGCTGTGACACTAGTTCTCTGTAACACAATGAGAGCCATGAAAATAGAACAGATTTATTCTAAAATTGTTTTGGCTGGTCTCAATTTGGAAAAAAAGGAGGGCTTTTAACTGAAGCAAATGGACAAAAATGCCAAAATTGAAGCTTCTAAGCAGTGAGTTTGTTATTTATTATTAATGAACACCTGTTTTTCCAACAGCAAAGTATACAGAAATATGAAATATATGCTTTTATGTAAAATAACTACAAGCCTAATGCAGCTGATTTGGGGAAATATTCCAGTTAGTTCTTGCTGTACAGTATAATAACAAGGTTTTAAAACTTTTAAAAGCTTTTGTTCCAAACTACTTTTGTCTATAAATAATTTAAAAATCTGTCCTAACATATGCCCAGATTTTATCTGGAAGGACACATAAGGAGTAACAGTGCTTGCTCCTGCGGACAGAGTTAGGTACTCAGGAGGATGGGGAGGGAGATGTTTTATTATTTAACCTTTCCTAACTTTGGAACTGTGCCATGTTAATGAATTACTTATGCAAAAACCGATTGAATTTGTGCTTGAAGCAGCTGCAGAGCAGTCACCTACCCCACCCCCACCCTCGTTTATAGAAGATATGGGGTATGTGAACTTCCACAATTCCTGACACCCAGAGAGACAGAGTCATGTTAAGAATCTAATAATTAAAAAATACTTATACAGCCAGGCATGGTGGCACATGCCTTTAATCCCAGCACTGAAGAGACAGAGGCAGGAGAATAGCTCTCTGTGAGTTCCAGGCCAGCCAGAGTTACGTAGTGAGACTGTCTCAAAAGCAAAAACATAAAAAATAAAAAAATATTACTTATCTAAAGGGAAGGATTTTCTACTCAAACACACTTTGACCTTATAGAAGAAAAATTTATTCCTATATTTTAATCTATCAAATAAGCCAGCATTTCTCCCCAAATTTTTATTTTTTTAAACTAGACTCTCAGGACAGCAAAAGGATCCCATCATAAGCACACGAACAAAAAAATTACTAAAAGTAGGCTGGGAATATAGCTCAGTGGTAAAGCACTTGCCTAGCATGTGTAAAGCCTTAAGCTAAATTCCCAGCAACAAAACAATTTTTTTTCCTAAATGAGGATTAATAATGAGATTCTTCAGTAGGTTGTTTCCTGAAAGTTCTCCTTATTAATTACACAAATCCACACTAGAAATAAAATGCCCAATTGAAAGGCCTGAACTGCAAGAAAGTACAGGGTGAACACTCAGCATAGACTTCCAGGAAATGTCTTGAGCATCTTTTTTTTTTTTAAGGCCATTGATATTCATGGTCTCTCTTCTGTTTCAAATATTCTCTCCAGTCACATGCAGCAAGCTTCCGAAGGATGACAAGATGTCAGCAAAAAACAGGATTTTTTTTTTACTGGCACACTTGCGATATCTACAGAGTGGCCCATGTTCTAAAACAAGTCTGACTGTAACACTGGTAAAAATCATTCCCTGGTGTAAACTGCGCATCACCAACATGTGCATTTTATTTCCAGCAGAAAATAGATACGCAATAAATATCAATCGACTCTTCCATATATATGCGCACAGACATATAATTTTTATTAATAATCACACCTAAGTAACTCCCCATGTAGTTGACAACCCCAACTCATCCAATTACCTGCAGACCAACAGGAGCATACAGAAACAGACCTCTCCGGTGATGCTTGAAACCTTGTTACTACAGTGCAACACGAACTAAACAAAACAGGCTGCTTCAAGTGTCACTTGGAAAAGGACTATCCCATTGGATGGTTCACATTCCCCCACCCTCAAGCACTCCCGCTGAGGCTTCCTGAAAGCATTATGTCATCCACTATCTGCAAGTCTCTCACGCTGTCCTGCGCTCCCAGCATCTAGGCCTAAAGAGGCGAGCCCAGAGAGGTCTCGCCCTCTCCAAGTTCTCGTGGAGTCATGTGAGACACAGCCCCAGTTTCTCCCGAAGACAGAAACAAGTTAGCTCCCTAACTTGACAAGCTGAGAAGGGCGAAAGCACTGGGGCCGAGACGACCCTCGGCGAGTCCCCCGCAGGCCTGACCAGGCTCTGCCTCCACTGAGGAAGGCCAAAGACCCCACAAGGCGAGGGTCAGGGCCAGGAAGAGGGTTGGCCTCAGGAAGGCACCGCGACCCTCTCTCGGGGCAGGGAATCGCGTTGGCTGTCTCCAGCACGCAGGCCAGGGGAGCGGCCCAGGGCGGGAGCTACGGCGCCCGGACTCACGGTCGGGGCAGCGGCTCCTCGGCAGGACCCGGCAGCGGCGGTGGTGGCGGTGCAAGCGGCGGCGCCTGCCCCTGAGGCGGCGGCTGAGGGGGCTGAGGCGGCGGCGGTGGTGGTGGCGGCTGTTGCTGTTGCTGTTGCTGCTGCTGCTGGAACGACTTGAGCGACTCGAAAGCCTTCATCAGCTTTTCCAGGGTTGCCATGACGGCCTCCTGCCCTGCGGGACAGACCCCGAAGGCTTGAAGCCTACTCGCACTCCGCGGCGCCACTTAGCAGCGGGGAAATGAATGGGGATCTGCGCGGCGGGCAAAAGCGGAACCAAAGCGCTCAGCCATCTTGGGCCCGTCCCGGCAACCCCCGCGGCGCCTGCGTCCTGTGACGTCATGCCGACGGAGGCGAGGCCACGCTGGATCCGCAGATTTGACAGGCCGAAGCGTCGTCTTTCCCAAAGCCTGTATGTAAGCACGCCGGGCCTCTGCCAACTTGCTAGGAATCTCCACACCTTCGATATGACCCCGCCCCTCTCCGACAAACCAAGCCTCTGATTGGCGAGAGCGGGGAGAGAGCGTGATGAAGTGGGCGGAGCGGGCTGTTAGATGAGGGGCGGAGCCGAACCAAGAGCGGGTTTGAGGGGCGTGGCCCAGCACTAGATTAGGATTTAATCGCGATGGGAAAAAAAGAGGGGAGGTGGGCGAAGGAGTTGGCAACTCACCAGGGTTTGGGGAGACAAGGAAGGCGAAGAAATTGGAAAGGGGAAGGGCAACAAACAAATTTCCCTGCAGAAAGCCACCCTACACCGGGATGGAGCTCAGAACCGGAAACCCAGAGAGGATTCATGGTCCACAAGCTGACAGGTGGCCTGCAATACAGTCCAGAATGCAGTATGCTAAGGGCCCCATGAAATGAGAAGGGAACCAGAGTGACCCTGATGCAGGACCAAAGAACCGTTGTGATCCGTGGACCCCTGAAGCACGGGCCAGGAAGCCTTTAAAAAAAAAAAAAAGGCAGCACCTGAGGATATGCTGTAGAGGAAGCTGATAAAGTGTTTCAAGCAAGCAACAGTGCCTGCAGCCCAAAGAGATGCTGGGGTTAGTGCAACTTTAATCAGACACTTCAGAGTGCTGGCCCATGGCACTGCTCTGGCCATTAGCCAGAACCTACTAGGGGCCTCATTGCCACTGGACTGAGGTCCTTGTCTCCAACATCTCCATCTCCCACAGGCGAGCAATTAAACAGGAAGCTAAGAATAGTATAGTATGGATACACCTAGCTCCTGCAGCCAGTCCAGCAGAAAGTGTTGGCTTCAGAAAGAGCTGTCTGGAGGTGATGCATTCAGTGAAGAACCCTCTTAAACTCTTCAGGCTACCCTAAGACTCAAGAGCCCTATTCCATGGCCATGAGAAACTCCTCCATCTTTTCAAAATGGCCAAGTAGACAGGAGTCAACACTGTTCCTATGGGAAGTGTAAGCAACCCACACAGTCAAACTGAGGACAGCAGAGAAACAATCTTTAGATTCCATGTCCCTCCAGTTACTAATGCCACTGTCCACTGCACAGAGCCAATGCCAGCTCCAACATGAGGCAAGCTCTACCAACTGGTAGCTGCTAGTAGGCAGACTTGGAAGGCCCAGTGAGCCCTGCCTCTTAACATTCTCTAAGCTATGGCATCCCTGTTTCCAAGTATGGGCAGCTGACATCTGACTTCTCACCAATACAAGACAAAGATAAGGATGTAGCACTGTTGTTTGGTTACAAACGTAACCTTACTCCTGCTGACTACCATCTTCTCAACTTGCATTGATGTTTAATTAGATTTATTTTTATTTTATGTGTGCATGTTTTGCCAGTTTGTATGTGTTGTACCACATGCATTGTTTGATGCCTGAGGTCAGAGAGGACATCAGATCCCCTGGAACTGGAGTTATAGGTGGTTATAAGCCACCATGTGGGTGCTAAGAATCAAACCTGGGTCCTCTACAAGAGCAACAAGTGCTCTTACCTGTTGAACCATCTCTCCAGCCCTGCTTACACACATTGAGAAAGAGCAACTGGAAAGACTGACATAAAGAACTGCCCATGGTCAACAATCAGGACTGACAGTGGTGGTCCATCAGCCCACAAAGAAGTGGACTCTGCCAACATCACTAAAGCTCTAAGGTGATTCTTCTGAAGCCATGCTTTCAGATAAGAGGGAACTGGTACCCGATTTCCCACTGTGAGAAGCAGGCAGCTGAGGACTTACATAAGCTGGACCCAGATTCTGGACCCACAGAAACTGAATAGTCATATAGTAGTTGTTGGGCAGCAAAGTACAGGTATATTGTTTGACTTGCACTGCTTTGTATCAAGGTACCACCATCTGGGAGTTATCATTGGATGTTTATATTCTCATAGTCCCAAACTAAAAATTCAAAATCCAGGTGTTGGTAGAGCAGCTTCCACTTGAGGCCTTACACCATCCTCCCTCTGTGTCTGTGTCCTAATTTTTTTATAAGAACATAAGTAACTGGATTAAGATCTAATAACCTTGGTTTATCTCAAGACCTCTTTAATTCTCTCTCCAGGACTTAGTGGTGCATGTCTGTAATCCCAGCAATAGAGAGGTTGAGGCGGGAGCATTTCAAACAAGGACAACCTTGGCTACATAGTGAGTTCCAAGACAGAATAGCTGCATATATCAAGACCCATCAGGAGAGGGGAGAGGCCACCATTTGTTTTCCAAACACAGACCCATTCTGATATTCTGAGGAGTTAGTGCTTTGGTATATAAATTATGTGATACAATTCCATCCATAAAAATAAGTAATACAGTTGCATTCTAACAATTAATGTGACCTTATTCAGAAATATGGCCTGTTTTTTAATATGGGCAACTTGTCATTTAGTTAAGGTACTACAGTTCCTATCTCTCCATAGCTAACCTGAACCATGTGACTAAATAAGTCCTGGTCAGTGAGATACAAGCAGAAATAGTGTTACTTCTAAACAGTTTTGTACAAAGGAAAGGGTACATCCATCTTCTTCCAGATGCTTGTAATAAAAATGTGTTGTTTAGCAGTAGAGCAGTCATTTTGGGGTCTATGTGAAACTCACATTCTGAGATAAAGGAGTTGGAAAGAGTTGGGTGGATGATGGGTGCTGTCATTCTAGCTGCCTGTCCATTTCTGAATTTATTTTACTGTGGCAGAGCAATACATTTCCATTTTGTCTAAGCCACAATTACTATGTGATGGGAGATGTAATTCTGTAAATCTGTCTCTTATTGTTGTTGAATAAAGCACTGTTGGCCAATAGGGAAGCAAGATAGGTGGGACTAGGAGTCAAGGAGGATTCTGGGAAAGAGAGGCAGAAACACAATGTAGCCCGCCAGAGGAGTAAGAGGTCCTGACCATTTTCTCTGGTAAAAGAAATACTTAGATTAACAATTATGGGTTAAATACTTAAGTCAGAGCTATCAGTAAGAAACTAAGCAAACGGCCAACAGCTTAATAATTAATACAGCCTCATGTGTGTTCTTTTGGGACTGATGCAGCTCTGGAACCAGGCTGGCGAGAAGACAACACTCTACAACTGTGAGTAACACTATTAGATGCACCTACGCTAAATTTTGACCAGTTCTGAGGAATCTGTGTCACCGAGACATCATATGGCAATACAGGTCTAGCCATTCCCGGAAGAAAGTCTTATGCCTAGAACTTCCCATAGGTCCCACAGGATATCTGATGAGAAAGCCTTGTAAAAAGGGCTGTCAAAGCAAGGCAGTGATGGTGCATGCCTTTAATCCTAGCACTTGGGAGGCAGAGGCAGGAGGCTCTCTGTGAGTTCAAAGCCAGTCTGGTCTTCAGAATGAGTTCCAGAACAGACAAGGCAAGCCCCTGGGAGGTTGAAGCAGGCAGATCTCTGTGAGTTTGAAGTTGGGCTGGTCTACAAAGCGAGTTCTAGGACATCCCGGACTACATAAAGACACCCTGTCTCACAGCGAGCCCAGCTTCAGGTGAGATTGGGTCCCCGGCTGGGACCACCCGCCCATCACCCATCCCCCCCATCTTCGGGGCCGCTCCCGGCTTCTAGAAGAGCCTCCCACACAGGAAAGAGATCAGCCCCTCCAAGACCCCAACCCAGCGAGCCCAGCTTCAGGTGAGATTGGGTCCCCGGCTGGGACCACCCGCCCATCACCCATCCCCCTCCATCTTCGGGGCCGCTCCCGGCTTCCAGAGCCGCCCACACAGGAAAGAGATCAGCCCCTCCAAGACCCCAACCCAGCGAGCCCAGCTTCAGAAAAGAGATCAGCCCCTCCAAGACCCCAACCCCAGCGAGGCCAGCTTCAGCTTCAGCTGCAGTAAGGAAGGAGACCAGTGGAGACAGAAAGCCCCCACCAGCACCCACTGGAAGAAGAGATGGGAAGAAGACAGAATAAGAGATCACTCAGCAATAGAAACACCAACATGACCCCACCAGAATCCAGGGATCCAACACCAGCAAGACCTGAAAAGCACTACATAGATGAAGAAGAGGAGACAGACCTTAAAAATTATTTCATGCAGCTCCCCAAGACCCCAACCCAGCGAGTCCAGCTTCAGGTGAGATTGGGTCTCTGGCTGGGACCACCCGCCCATCACCCATCCCCCTCCATCTTCGGGGCCGCTCCTGGCTTCCAGAAGAGCCGCCCACACAGGAAAGAGATCAGCTCCTCCAAGACCCCAACCCAGCAAGCCCAGCTTCAGGTGAGATTGGGTCCCCGGCTGGGACCACCCGCCCATCACCCATCCCCCTCCATCTTCGGGGCCGCTCCGGGCTTCCAGAAGAGCCGCCCACACAGGAAAGAGATCAGCTCCCCAAGACCCCAACCCAGCGAGTCCAGCTTCAGGTGAGATTGGGTCTCTGGCTGGGACCACCCGCCCATCACCCATCCCCCTCCATCTTCGGGGCCG